GACCTTTGGACGTGACCCATGAGGTGCAAATGCCATGCATGAAATAGCGAGAAGCAAACGTCGCAACCAACTTTGCCCAGAAGTCGGTGGCGGTTGAATTTTCGTCGGCTACTCTTTGGGACCCAACCAAGACCGCCCTCAGATGACAATGGGCTCTATCGTATCAGCATTACGACCTATAGCATATGTATCTTTACCTATCCTTGGGATCCGCTATGCAGCAACCAAGTCGGCGGTCGTGCAGTACTATTGGCGAGTAGGCCTATACTTGTCTTGCCTAGCCGTGGCGTCAGTTTGGGGTGTCTGCATGGGCGTCGCATTGCTCGTCGTCGGAAAGAGATATGATATCGATTTTTGGACGGCAAGGAGCTTTTACTTTCTCGCGGGACGGGTATTGGACATACAATTTGAGATAGAAGGAGAGGAGCACCTTAAGACAAAACCAGCAATCTTACTTGGGAATCATCAGAGTATGCTGGACATCCTTTACCTTGGCCCGTAAGTAGACACTTTCGCCCTTCTCCTAAACTGCTTTGGGGTACCGCGTGCACAGTCTTTGCCGAGACACGCGTTCAGAATTTACAAGCTGACGTCTTCTCTTTATCTATATATTTTAACGCGCTGATGTCATTTCACTCTTATAGGATATTCCCGCGTGCCACGGTCATTTCTGCGAAAAAGGAGCTACGATGGGTTCCCTTCCTTGGACTATTCATGATGGCAGGAGGAAACATCTTCCTTGATCGAAGAAACCCACAGGTTGCGATCAAATCTCTCAGAACAGCCGGCGAGACCATGAAACGACGAAAACTGAGCCTATGGGTGTTTCCAGAGGGCACAAGAACTTTGAACAAGGAGACAGACATGAAGCCATTCAAGAAAGGTGCATTCCATGTCGCAGTACAATCGGGTCTACCACTCGTTCCCGTGTTGTGTGAGAATTATTGGAAAATCTACCACCAAGACGTGTTTGGCAAGGGAACTCTCAAGATAAAGAGTGCGTGCGACTAGCTCCATGGCTGTGATAGTATCTTACCATTCTTCTAGTCCTACCTCCGATCGAGACCACTGGTCTGACCCCTGAAGACGTTCCCGACTTGGCCATTCGTACTAGGGAGATCATGCTCAAGGCTTTACACGAGATCTCTACTCCCAATGACGCACCTTCAACTGACAGGAATGCCCGAAGAAAAGAGAGAGATTCTTCCCTAATGCCGCCTCCACCCGTCCCGTCCGCAGACAGCAAGTCAATTGGCATCACTGAGATCAGACCAGCAGGACAAGCCTCGTCCGCGGTCAAGGTCTCTGATTCCGATAGCTCTAGACAGAGGACTCCGTCACTGGCCCGGAGTGTAGTATCCGTGTCCGACAATGGCAGCCAAGAGACCGAGGAAGAGGACGGCCACGTCCTGGTGAGGAGACCGGTGGCATAATGTTATCCTACAGGCGCTGTGACCCTTCAACTCGGCCGAAAGTTGGCTCAGGTTAGGATGGGAGGAAGATTCTCGAGTGGGGGTTATTTTGAAAACCGTTCGACAGGGAAGAGTGGTGGTGTTGGTGGTGTTTTTGGTGATGCATCTCCGCTTATTTAATTTTTTTAAATTGGATCTCGATGTGACCTTTTCGCTCAGGCGTGTTGCACCATGGGCTGTTATTATGATGATTCCTGACCACAAAAAAGGAGATTTAATCTAGCCTTATTCTACCTTCTCCTGAGTGCCAGCGGCCGTTTTGGTCTAAGAAACATCCTTAAACGGAACACGGCTAATTTGGCAGGCAAAGGTGGGTGGCACGCGGCTCGCTGAGGCTAAGGGCCGAATTCACCGCTTGAAATAGAGAAACCTGGTAGGAATATTCTGAAAGATTTGAACGGGGAGATGATGAAAGAGAGACGTAAAATGAGAGAAGTTCAATTTTGAGCACCTGATTTGTGCATCCATCTCGAATTATTTTGACAGTCAAAGCTAGCTTGCTCAACTTGACGACCGCTCACTTAATCCCCACTCTATAGTTGACACTCTCAAACTTGGATTCCACCTCAGCTTCTCCTCTCCTGCATTTCTTAGACTTTGGGATCTATCTTGGCTTTTCTACTCTCTATTCGCGTCTCGCGTACCGTACACCCCAGCTCAGCTCGCCCGTTTCCGCCTCTCAATCCCTCTCAGCGAACCCGTCACACGACTTTTTTACAACAACGCTACAATCGAGTATAAAGACTTACGAGATACGATGAATTCTGCAGGCCCACAGGACACGATCGCCACAGACCATCACATGGCAGATCCTGACGAAACCAACCCCTCCAAGGGCAACCTGAACGATAAAGGCGACGATTATGTCTATTTCAACCGATCTACCGCTGGGTTCTCAGACGATGTGATCCCCAGAGCAAAAGCGTTCCAGCTCAAACTGGAACATTACTACAAATTAGCAGTGGAGGCTGCTGTACAGAGAAACACCCGGTACGTCGTGATATTCCCTATTTTGCCCCTTCGGATCTATCAGCCCTGGTCCCTCTATCCTAATCAGGATTGAGATTGTGGTGAAAAGGCGGAGTAATCCTTTGTTCAATCTGCCGATTTGACCCCGGAGCCACCGTGATTCGAATTGGAGGGGGAGCTATTGACTATTAAACCTATGCACGTACTGACATTTATTAATTTTTTTTATCCTCTTCTTACGTGGGCTCGGTTTGATGGTACCCTCGTAGTCGCGTGGAGATTGAAACAAAGTTGGTCAATGATGCATCAATGTCGGACGAGAAAAAACGCAAGCAGTTGGCTCAATTAGGCAAGACCGAGTCCACCTTTTTACGATTGAGAAGGACGAAGATCGGGTTGAATGACTTTAGGACTGTCAAGCTGATTGGAAAGGGAGCGTTTGGAGAGGTTCGGTTGGTGCAAAAGACGGATA